AAATCATTCTGATTTCCAGCCTTCATTTACCAGACTTAGTATTTGATCTGATTCTGTCATTCCCAAATAGAGTCTAAGTGAAAGGTCTTTTTTTTCTCACCAATTGTTATAATACTAGAACAAATGATAAAGCTGATATTTTGGTATTTTTAGTTATGCCAAAATTCACTATTAATATCACTGTCTTCTTTTAAGATACTCAGAATGTATTTTTAAAAAATCAATGGAACTAAATAATACATTTCAAAACATTATAGTTTATACATATATTAGAAAACATCAAATAAAAACACATTTTAAAAATATAAAGTTGAACACATTAAGTTCTAATATGTTATTAGATAATAAAGAATTCAAAAACACAAAATAAAAATAATCTGTCAAATATGAACACTGAAAGAATAATTTTTTAGTGTAATCTTATAAATCAGAATGCATCAGAAGTGTCATAATTCAGTCCAGTGGCTTTTAGTGCAAATTTGTTTAGCTTTTCTTTTGAAAAGCTCTGATTCTGTATTAGCTGAGGAATGATGGTGAAGAGATACATAAAAGCTAGCTCTAGATATTTTCCTGTAAATCCTTCATCTTCAAATAATCCTACTCTTATTTACAATTGAAGCAGTATTTTTTTGAGTCGCTTTTTTTGTTGATTGTAGCTATAGTTTTTGTTATTAAAAGTTCTTCTACTCATCTTCAGTTTCATCAGAAAATGATTTTGTTGCACGGTGACTTGTACCAGTTCCAATAATGTGTCCATGACTCCTCATTTGGAAAGTCCTCCAACTGGAATAAGAACTTTCTTGCCATGGAAGCTATGCCTAGTCAGGGTCATTTTTTTCTTCTTTTGATGACTATGGCAATATAGAAGAACAAAATTTAGAGATATAGAAAAGAGTGTTCAGAATTTGCAGGGTGTAAGTGGGCAGAGAATAGTGTTATTCAGGAAGTGTTTTAATCACATTTTGAGTAATTGAGTCATCATCTTGATTTCAGGGTTTTAAAAATATCAAAACTCTATGCTCTTCTGTCTGTACTGCGTTCTTTGACTGTAGTCCCTTCTCTGGGGTGGCCTCTGGGTAGCTGACTTCAGTGTGCTAGTCCCACTGTACAGCTATACTTTCCTGACCTGTTTAGCTCCTGCCTTAGTTTGTTTTGTGTTGCTCTATAAGAATACTGAGGCTGAGTAATTTATAAAGAAAATAGATTTATTTAGCTCACAGTTCTGCAGGCTCTACGCGAAGCATGGTGCCAGCATTTTCTCAGCTTCTGGTGAGGGTTCTGTGCTGCCAGAACATGGTGGAGAAAGTCAAAGGGACAGTGGGCGCATGTGAAGGGCCTGTGGCTTTATATCAACCCACTCTCAAGAAACTACTCCATTCCCACGAGAATTAATTCAGTCTTGCCAGAGCTAGAACTCACTATCTTGAGAGCAGCACCAGGTATTCATGAGAGATCCACCTCCATGACCCAGATACCTCCCGCCAGGCCCCACCTCTCAACACTGCCACACTGGGAAGAAAATGTCAACATGAGATTTAGTGGGGACAGACAAACCAGAACCAAACCACAGCAGCTCCCTTGAGAACATTCAGGACTACCACTTCTGAGCAGCTTCTGACTCTGTCTAGTTGTAGCAGCTTTAATTTCTTCCCCCATATACCCAGCAGGAATGGCCTTGCCTGGTTCTACCTCTTCTCATTCCTTAAGCAACGGATTGATTTCAGAGGACTTTTCCTGTGAGGTTCATATTCTGTTCTTTTTTTGACAGAGTAGGAGATGAGGTGGTATAGATGTGTGGAGAGGGCTGGGGAGATGGGGGTTAATAAAGAGAAGATAGAGGACATGGGAATTGCAGGACAGGAAGCCTTATGCTATGGCAGGAGTGTCCGGGATGGCAGCCTGTGGAAAAAACCGGGAAGGAGAAAAAGAGGTGGATTGCAGAGAGAGCCAGGAAAGCCAAGGCAGCTAATGACTTTATCTGAAAAAACAGCATATATAAACTGAAATATTAAGGTTTCTTTTTCTTTGGGTTTTTTTTTTTGTTTGTTTGTTTGTTTGTTTGTTTTTGAGATGGAGTCTCATTCTGTTGGCCAGGCTGGAGTGCAGTGGCACGATCTCAGCTCACTGCAACCTCAGCTTCCCATGTTCAGGCAATTCTCATGTCTCAGCATTCCAAGTAGCTGGGATTACAGGTGCGTGCCACCATGCCCAGCTAATATTTGCATTTTCGGTAGGTACAGGGTTTCATCATGTTGGCCAGACTCGTCTCAAACTCCTGACCTTAAATGATTTGCCTGCCTTGGCCTCCCAAAGTGGTGGGATTACAGGTGTGAGCCACCTAACCCAGCTTCTTTTTAAATACAGCATGCCACATCAGAAACTGGAATACCAAAACTCACAAGCCATATTTCCTATTATTTTTAATCTTAAAATTCTCTAAGAAATCCCGAAAGGTCTCTTAAGAGAACTCAAAAGGTTTAGTTTTAAAACTAGAGGATATTTTCATGGTATTGTCATTGAATTTATTCAGATTGTAAAAAAAAGTTTTTTTGAATTGGCAATAAAAGTTTTTCTATTGATATAAGGTAATATAACATTATTCTGTCTGGAATGATAAAACTATTAGCTCTGAACTGAAAAGAGAGCACTTAATGTGTTCATTTTCTTATATGAAGAAATATCTGCACTAAGAACTTGTTCATTTTACAAAGTAAGTTTTCTGTCAGAAAGACTCATTTAATTCATGACACAAATCAGAGGCCGCAGTAGGAAGATAAAATGAATGGCCAACAGTTGAAATGTGTCATCACAATTATCATGTGCAATGAGAACGTTAAAGATACTTAAAGATATTTAAGATATAAATAAGACAATTGTCCATACGCATTTGACTTGTTACTTTTTTGGGATAGGGTAAAAATAGAATTCCTGTCAATGAATTATTATTTTGCATTGAGTAGGAGATATTTATTTTGTAGGAATATACACTTTTCAGACCATTTCAGTTAAAACAGTAATGACATTACTGTTTTATTAAGGAATCTGTCTTATTAAGGAAGTGAATTTATTTTGTAGGAATATATACTTTTCAGACCATTTCAGTTAAAACAATAATGATATTAATGGAATCTGTCTTATTAAGGAAGTGAATCAACTCAACAAAAAGCTTAGAGTCATGGTCTGTGATTTTGAGTCATCTAGACAGCTTTCCAGAGTCGTCACTAGCCTTAAGACATAGCATGTTGTCTTCATTTATCTTAAACTATATCACAAAATCTCGGATATAAAATTAGTCAAATTATCATTATAAAGCCATATGCTACCTACGTCAAGACTTTTCTCTCTTCATCTGATCATATGATGTGTAATATGCTTATTTAACAAAATATAATCCATGCTAAGTAAAGCATAACATCTATGATTTTTACATCAATATTCTGAGTAGCAAAATGAGAAGTCAGATATTTATTACTATTCATATACAAATCTGTAACAAAATGTATCCATGTGGTAGATTGTCATTTTTACAACTTTATTGAGATAAATTTTACTTAAAAATTTCACATGGTAGGTTTTGAGGGAAAAAATACTTTTTAAAAACAAAAGATTAACCCTCCTGTGTGGTACATGAAAAAAAAAAACCACTAAAACTAAAAGCAATGGGCAGCCTGGGCAACATGGCTTCATGTCATGTAGAGAGACCCCCATCTCTACAAAAAAAATTTTTTTTAAACTTAGCCTGGCATGGTGGCGTGCACATGTGGTCCTAACTACCCAAGGAGACTAAGGCAGGAGGATTGCTTGAGCCCAGGAGTTCAAGACTGCAATAAACTATGATTGTATCAGTGTACTCCAGCCTAGGTGACAGAGCAAGTCCCTTTCTCTTATTATTCAAATAAAATAACTACAATTTTAAAAATAAAAATGAAAGGAAAATATTTTCACTTATAATCTCTTTATTGTGATATAACAGCAGTTTTCATTTTTCAGTATTTCTTTTCACTCATTACCTAGTTTTTTTAAGGGAAGATGGGTATCACAGGTCTCCTTGGAAGAACCTATCAATAGACAGGTTTCCAAAAGAAGACAGTCATGATCCTACTGGATAAATCTGAACGAACGATTGAATTTTAGTTAAATTCTTCTGAATTTATTCTACTGTAAAAGGGGGATCATTCTTGAACTGAACCTCTTAATGTAAATACTTTCTGTTTTTGTTCCTCTGTGTTAAATACTCTTCTTCATAATCTTTATTGAAGAAATAAGAGAATACAAAAACACATGGGGCTTGCAGTTGCTCTTTTCTTGTTTGGCTTTTGTGCAGATTACTTTGTAGCAGTCAGGCATTGTAGTTGTTAACTAAATGGGTAGGTATGACTCTACACTTAAGGAGCTTGCACCAAACCAGTAACAGGGCCTTAGGATAATCTGTTTTCTTCTCTTTTCTCCACCCATCTGGATTCTAACCATCCTTCAAGACCTAACTCAATTCCTAAACCATTCATGAAATCTGCACCATCCCAAACTTTTAATGATATTCCCTTCTTTGAACTTCTTTTGCATTATTATATATATAATTTTGCCTCTGTTTTGTCTTCTTAATAGGATTTTAAATTCTGAATATATAGTTTAGTCTCTGTTTTGTCTCCTTAGTAGGATTTTAAATTTCTTCTGAGCATGAATTATTTTCTTACTATCTTCTGGATTTTAGCATATAACGCAGTTGTAGGTAAATAAGAGATGCTGAAGTTTTTGCTGATTCCTTTGACTTGGAGACTTTTCAAGATGCACTTTATCTTTTAAAAAGAAAGAAACACAGAAATACAAAGCAAACAAACTACAAAAACAGCTTGCTTTTCACAGCCGCTAAGTAGTGGTACCACTTTTTGATTATTTGGAAATTATTCGGTTTGGGTGAGAGGTGCTAAATAAATGTATCAGGGAAGATAAATTGTTTGCACTACAGCCTAGCTGTTTACTCACAGTTTCCTCTCTTATAGATATTGCAGGAGAAGAGGCTGGGTACGATCCACACTCATTATGTCTGTTCCACAAACAAGTACTTCAAAAGGGAAAGTCATGCTTAAAGAGTACAGTGGACGCAAGATTGAAGTAGAGCACATTTTTAAATGGATAACTGCTCATGCAGCTTCTCGGATCAAAACCATTTATAATGCTGAACATTTGAAAGAAGAATGGAATAAAAGTGATCAATATTGGTTAAAAATATACCTGTTTGCAAACCTTGACCAACCTCCAGCTTTCTTCTCTGCACTAAGTATAAAGTTTACTGGAAGAGTTGAGTTTATTTTTGTTAATGTAGAAAATTGGGACAATAAGAGTTATATGACAGATATTGGCATATATAATATGCCATCATACATACTTAGAACTCCTGAAGGAATTTACAGATACGGAAACCACACAGGTGAATTTATATCACTTCAGGCCATGGATTCATTTTTGCGCTCATTACAACCTGAGGTAAATGATCTGTTTGTTTTAAGCTTGGTTCTAGTTAATCTTATGGCTTGGATGGACTTATTTATTACACAAGGAGCTACCATAAAGCGATTTGTGGTTCTCATAAGCACTTTAGGGACATATAATTCTCTATTAATTATTTCCTGGCTACCTGTATTGGGCTTTTTACAGCTACCTTACTTAGATAGCTTTTATGAATATAGCTTAAAATTGTTGAGATATTCCAATACAACCACACTGGCTTCATGGGTAAGGGCAGACTGGATGTTTTACTCTTCACACCCAGCCCTGTTTCTCAGTACATACCTTGGACATGGTTTACTAATTGATTACTTTGAGAAGAAGAGAAGGCGCAACAACAATAATGATGAAGTCAATGCCAATAACTTAGAATGGCTATCAAGTCTGTGGGACTGGTACACCAGCTACCTCTTCCACCCGATTGCTTCTTTTCAGAACTTTCCTGTAGAATCTGATTGGGACGAAGACCCTGACTTATTCTTGGAGCGCTTAGCTTTCCCTGACCTTTGGCTTCACCCTCTAATACCAACTGATTATATTAAAAATTTACCCATGTGGCGATTTAAATGTCTTGGAATCCAGTCTGAAGAGGAAATGTCAGAGGGGTCTCAAGATACTGAAAATGACTCAGAAAATGAGAACACAGACACTTTTAACAGTGAGAAGGAAGTATTTGAAGACAAGCAAAGCGTATTTCACAGTTCTCCAGGAAGAGCAAGTCACTGTGATGCTGAGGCTTGTTCATGTGCCAATAAATATTGTCAGACCAGCCCATATGAAAGGAAAGGGAGGTCATATGGATCATATAACACTAATGAAGATATGGAACCTGATTGGTTAATTTGGCCTGCTGATATGCTGCACTGTACTGAATGTGTTGTTTGCCTAGAGAATTTTGAAAATGGATGTTTGTTAATGGGGTTGCCTTGTGGTCATGTGTTTCATCAGAATTGCATTGTGATGTGGTTGGCTGGGGGCCGACATTGTTGCCCTGTTTGCCGGTGGCCTTCTTATAAAAAAAAGCAGCCATATGCACAACACCAGCCCTTGTCAAATGATGTTCCATCTTAACCATGTGCAATTTGTCCTTTATAAGCTTTGAGTATCTTACAGCTTGCCTTTTTAATGTTAGTCACAATGTTTTTGTGGTTTGAGGTTTAGTTTAATGTTAGTGCAGTGACAGGAAATACACATTATGCTAATGTTGATGACAGAATTTATTTGGTTGCCTTGTGTGTCAATTGAATGCATACTTAATTGTAAAAATTTTTATTTACAACTTTGGAAATTCAGAAGTTAATGTTTTTTGTAAGCACAAAAGAAGTATGATAGAAATTTATCCTAGCAAGACTTTACAAGATAGGATCAAATTCTAATGGAATTGAGCCGGTTTCTTATCCTAAATGTTTTCTCCCTTTTTACAATCTCTGTCCAGCACCTCTTGGTTAAATAATGTATGCTGTGAGACATGAAATTAAAACAGACCTATGAAATAAATTATTTTAAAACCAGCAGATTACAGATTTTCTAATGTTAATTTTTTTTTGATAAGGTGGCTGAATGCTATAGGTGTTTTGCTGGTTTGTTAATTTCACAGGTAGATCAAACATGATTCTTGACTGATGTTGTGGGGGAAGACAAATTACGTTGCTGACACTGGCTAGAAGTGACAGTTCACCTTTTAGCTTGGTTAGCTTTGATGGAAAAGAATTTCATGGTGGGCTTTTGAAAAAGTATTAGATAATTTATTAGTATTTAGCACGTTCATCAAATAAAACTAACTATAGCATATTAGCCACACATATTTTTCTGACTTTTACTTTTGAAATTTTTTTAAAGCCACAGAAAACTATAAACATAGTACTGTGAACATCCATTTCTCTTTATCTAATTCACATTTTGTTATATTTGTTTTATCTCCTCTCTTATATGTATATTTTTTTCTTTTATCTATTTTTTTTGCTGATCCTTTTGAAAATAAATTTGTCATCATGAATATATCACCACATGTCTAAGAACAAGGATATTCTTTTATGTAACCACTATGCCATTATGACACCCAAGAAATTTAACATGGATTCAATAATAGCTAATGTATATAAAATCGATAGTCCCCAGTTGCTCTTAAAATGTCCTTTATATCTAAATGTTTTTCTTTTGTTTTTATTGTGACCTCAGACAGAGTTTATACATTAGGTTTACTCTTTCCTTTCATCCTTTCCTCTAGAGCAATTCCCCCTGTCCCTGTTCTAAAAAGTGGACTCTTTGACTTCTCTCTGGTGGTTTGTTTTATTTTTATTTTATTTATTTTTTTCTTTTTTTTGAGATGGAGTCTCTCTTTGTCACCCAGACTGGAGTGCAGTGGCATGATCTTGGCTCACTGCAACCTCTGCTTCCTTGGTTCAGGTGATTCTCGTGCCTCAGCCTCCCAAGTAGCTGGGATTACAGACATGTGCCACCGTGCCTGGCTAATTTTTGTATTTTTATAGAGATGGGGTTTCACCAAGTAAGCCGGGCTGGTCTGAAACTCCTGGCCTCAGGTGATCCTCCCACCTCAGCCTCCCAAAGTGCTGGGATTATAGGCATGAGTCACTGCACCTGGCCCATCTGTTTTGTTTTGTTTATTAATTTAATTTTTAGTTTTTTAGAGACAAAGTCTTTCTCTGTGGGCTATGCTGGAATACAGTAGCATGATCATAGCTCACTGTAGCTTCAACTCCTGGAGTCAAGGAATCCTTCTGCCTCAGCCTCCCAAGTAGCTGGGACTACAGTCTTGAGCCACAATACAAAGTGTTTTTTGTTGTTTTTTTTTAAGAATTGGAGTCTTCCCATATTGCCTAGACTGGTATTGAGCTCCTAGGCTCAAGTGATCCTCCCAAGTAGCTGGGGTTACAGACACAAGCCATCAAGCCTTGCTAATTGACTTTTTCTGGTACTAACATTTTTGGAGACTACAGGCTGGTTGACTTATAGAATGTTCTACATTCTAGATTTGTCTGTTTCTTTCATGATTAGATTTAATTAAAGGATATTGCCTAGAAGATACGTACTTCCTATAAATCTAAATGGCATCAGGAGGCACATGTCAGTTTGCCCCATTGTTGGTGACATTTGGTTAAAGTGATATTTTCCTTATCTTTCCATTCTAAGATACATTTTCACGTTAAGAAGGAACCTGTTGAGACTATGCAAATATCCCGTTCCTCAACAATCTAACCCAATGGCTTTAACATCTGCTGATTCTTTGCATCAATCAGTTATTAAATGGGAGTTGCAACATGGGGATTTTATTTATTAATTTCAAGACAGGGGTTTGCTCTGTAACGCAAGCTGCATTGGCATGATCACCGCTCACTGCAGCCTCAACTGCCTGGGTAAGGGGGACCACAGGTGTGTGGCACCACATTTAGCTAATTTTTGTTTTGTTTTGTTTTTGGTAGAGACGGTTTCACCATGGTGCCAGGCTGGTCTTGAACTCCTGGGCTCAAGTGATCCACTTGCCTTAGCTTCTCAAAGTGCTGGGATTACAGGCATGAGCCAGTGCGCCTGTCTAAGATGGGGGTTTTCTTTTTTTTTTATAGAAGCGGGGTTTCACCATATTGGCCAGGTTGGTCTTAAACTGCTGACCTCAGGTAATCCACCCCCTTCGGCCTCCCAAAGTGCTGGAATTACAAGCATGAACCACCACGCCCGGCCTTAAGATGGGGGTTTTCTAATACCATCATTCATTCTACATTTATTGGCTGACTTTTTTGTGAACAAGAACTTTATATTTTTCTTTCACACTTTAGATTCTCAGATTTTTAAAAATATCTTATGTGTTAGAATTTATTATTCTCGATTTTCAAATCGTTTCAGATTTGGCTACTGGGAGCCTCTCTAAGCGAGCTCTTACGTCTCATTGACAGTTCCTTTAATCTTGAAGCACTTCCTTACTTTTTGACACAAGGTATCCGAGGTTCACTTTGTATTTTCTCTGAGCTAGCCCTGTAGTCAGCCATTTCTTCAAAGTGCCCATTTCATGGTAGACTTCTAAAATCCTTAATTGAATCCCCACAAAATGGCAAGAAATTTTTTTCATTCTGAATTACTGCTAGACTACTAACAAACATTTTTCCCCTTCATGATGCATTGTGTCCCACTTTTATATGCTAATGGAATAATAAGGCCTGGCAGTTACTTTGTAGTAATATTTAGGAGTTTTTAAGTAAAAGTGCAAGCACAGCTTCTTGTGCTCTCATTTTACTTTTGAAAAAAGTAATCATTCACAGTTCTCAAATATGAACATAAAAACAAATTAAAAAAAAATTTAAGTGCTCACATTATTGTAAATATTAGTGTTTCTCAAGGTTCTGTCATTGATTCACTGATTTTTTTTTCTCTCTTCATTGGATGTCTTCTAAATCTACATGTCTAAGCAAAGGCCCCTCCCAGAGCTTCACTTTCATTTATAGCTATCTGCTGGACAGCTCCTCCTGGATGTTTTTAAGTACTTAAGAAGCCTAAAAGAGCTTTTTTATTCATTTATCCCACCCCCAGTCATCCTCTTAATTAAGGTCCTGACTGCAGTGAATTAAAAATTATATATATATATACACGTGTGTATATATGCATGTGTATATTTATATACATATATGCACACATGTGCATGCATATGAAATGTACACAAAAGCATAGAAATTTTTGAATAGAATCAAAATTTCTCCAGTATTCCAGGGCACGCCATACATTGGAGACTACTAACTTGGAAAATAAACCAATCTCTAACACTGGCTTTCAAGGTTCATCATCTGCTCCTGGCCTACTTCTTATACTCATCATGACACTGTATTCTGCTTGTGGCCCAGGCTCATGCTCTCATTTTTCCTAACTTGGTGCTTTGCTATTCCCTCTATATGACATTCTCACCCCTTCCTCTCTGCTTTGCCTGGCAAAATCCCAGTTTCTCTAGAAATTCGGTCCCTTCCTACCCATCTTCTCCTTCCTCACCAGGCCTATAAAGAGACAAAAATATAAAATGAATGTATATTTTTTGATATGCATTCATTTTATATTTTGTTGATTTTGCTCCATTGTTGATGATCAAACTTAGCATCATCAACAGTGGAGCAAACCGATGTGTGCCCTTCCTCCATATCCCAGTGATGCCATGTACATACCTGTCACACTTAGCTGCACTGAATTAAAACTCTGTGTCTTTAGTGAGCTCCTTTATGGTAGAAGCTGTGTTTTATTCATCCAAGTATCCACAGTGAGGGCACAAAATAGACATAATACATTTTCAATGTTAGATGTGCAATTAAAATACTACAGTAAGATTGGAGGGAAAATAATTGCCAAAGGTACATGTCTCCAGGTGACCTTGACTCATCGATTAATTGTTAAGCACAACAAGTAATAATGCTTTTGTCAGATTTTCCTAGAGGTGGAGCACTGAAGGAAATGTTTAAGGTTGACAGACTCTAAACTTCAGCTGTGTTTAAAAGAAAACTTTGAATTCTTAGAACAGCCTATCACATGTAATGAACTACAGATTTCAAGTATGTGGGCTTTGTAGTTACTGAACTCTATGATTAACTGTAATAGTAGGTTGATTTTTTTTCTGATCAAGAGTTTTTCTACTGCCTTCTCTAATAATTTCTTGTGTAGTCTTTTCTTTCTTTAAGGATGGTAAGCTCCCTGAGGGCAGGAGTAACACTATAATCTACTCTTATATTCTTAACATATTAGACCCAGAGTAGATATTCAGTCAATAATTGTTGGCTTGAACTTTGATAATCTATTTTAATTTTCCCCTTTACCAAACTTTTATTTATTGATTTATTTATTGATTTTTGAGACAGAGTCTTGCTCTGTCACCCAGGCTGGAGTGTGGGGGCACAATCTTGAGTCACTGCAACCTCTTCCTCCCAGTTTCAAGTGATTCTCCTGTCTCAGCCTCCTGAATAGCTGGGATTACAGGCACATACCACTGTACCCGGCTAATTTTTGTATTTTTAGTAGAGACGGGGTTTCACCATGTTGGCCAAGTTGGTCTTGAACTCCTGACCTCAAGTGATCCGCCCACATCAGCTTCCCAGAGTGCTGGGATTACAGGCATGAGCCACCACACCCAGTTTTTACCAAACTTTTTACTATCCATTTTGAATAGGTGGAAAAGATTTAACAGAAGAGATTATATTTTTAGTGCCCATTAGTAGTGACAAAAATATTAATATTTATGGCCTGCTCTAAGCCAAAAACTTAATTTTTCCCCATAGTTACATACTTCTTTTCTTCTATTCCTTAGATTATTTGAGAGCCTGGCAGATTATTCATGTGATCTTTCTCCTCGCTCTCCCACATTTTCCTCCTTGGCCATTTTATTATTCCTTAAAATTCTACCAAAGGGACATGAGGTAGAGAAAGATGAGGTGTTAGGTACTTTTGCTACTGGATCTGATTAAAAATTTAGAGAAGAATAAATTGAAATTTGTTAAAATGCTTTTGAATCATCTGTGTTTTAGTCATTCTTGTTCT